TCACACCTAGTGGTACAGAGTCAGGGACTGAGGGAATCTGGGACCTACAGGACGAGGCAACAGCTACATCATGGTTATGAAGATGTAACAGCACCTGAAGTGTGAGGTCAGTGGTCAAAGGTTTCTGGCATCCTCTAAATGAATCAAGAACCAGAAGGTTGGAAAAATTAATCTATCACTTTGTGACTTGCAGCATGTAAGGAGCTGAAAGCAATTGGGGCTCCTGCTTGTCTTCTATCACAGCCAAACATAAATGGATTGGAGCCTGGTGATGTGTGGTCTGGGAAAAAGCCACGTGTGTCATGCAAGAGGGCAGGCAGTACAGAGCACATGGCTCAAACACTGACCAAATAGCCCTCCCTAAACTTCATAAAATGGATTGGGAACAGAGAGAATAGATAGCAGTAAATCAGATATCCAGCCCCTTCCCCCCACCTCAGCACAAATACTTCTTTGGAAACACAGCTAGAAACCCCAGCACATTCAGAGTTAAGGCTAAAAAGAGCAGAAAAAAGAAACACCCGAAGTTGCCTAGAAATTTGTGAAATCTGGTTTAAACAACTTCAAGCTGACAGATGTTTCTCAGCTTTTCATGACCAAGCTTTGCTTTGGAGATATTCAGAAATAACATGAGGCAAAGATCTGGGAACTACAGGGTCAGACCCTGGCAAGTTAAAAGAAAATCCCTTGGCAAAGCCCATAGGTTGTGATCCCAAAAATAACCAGGAAATACTGGACAAGACACAAGTACAGAGATGGAGAAAGAAAATCACCTGCAAATATGTGTAAGAACAATTTCTGGTTTAGATGTTTTTCTCAACTCACAGCAGCAAAATGCTGCAGGCAGCCACGTTTGAAAAGTTTCTCTGAAGACTAATTTTGTAAGAGTAGAAGTATAAGCATGAGATAATTGTTTGGACCCCTCCAAAGCTGGTACATCAAACCAAAAGGCAGCATGGACTGTTTTGTGTGTCTGATCTGCTGGTTCCATACTCCCCAACTACTTTTCTTTATTCTTATCCAGCTCAGCCCTTGCCCTAATGCTTAAAAAATCTTTTACAAACACACTTCTTCTTCTTCACCATTCAAAAACACAGTAAAGCCACCTGAATTTGGGCCAAAGAAAGGAAAGTATACCTAGATCTGACCCGAGACTGTTGCTACCACCAGGAAAAACAGCTGTAAGTCAGTGAGAGTGGGGTAAGCAAGAGACACTGGCAGCTGGAAGGAGCCAGAGAAAAGGAAGTGGGATAGACAGAAAAAGAAACACTCAGTGGCTGGAAAGAGCCTGGAAAGGCGGGGGGGTGGGAGGGAGAGAGGGGAAGAGGAGTACCCAGGTGCCAAAATATGCAAACTTAACGCCATGTATGAAAATTTACTTTTTTAGCAAGAACACAGTAAGAACATACGGATGTTTACGTGCACACAAATACACTGAATCCCAAATAAACCATTTACAAGTAAGATTTTTTTTAAAAAAACTTCTAATTTCTGCAAATAATCATCCTCTATCCGCAGACCAAAATTATGTTTTGATTATAAAATAAGGAATCACATGTAACTTTCTTAGCCAAAAAAGCATTACCTTCTTCTCAAGGTAACTCTCTTCATTAATTGAATACTCTGGTCTTTTTATTATTTTTTTCCTAATGAAGCAATGAAATAAATGAAGCAGACAGAAAAGAACAGATGCTTCTGGGAGATGACTTGGTTTTAGGAAGGCTGGTGCTAGAGCAGGTGGTTTTACTTTATCATCTTGGCAGAAATGCCCAGGCTGCCTCAAATGACACTGCTGAAGCTTTTCAATTGGCGGCTGCTCTGATACAATGAATAAAATCAAACTGTGCTAACAAACAGATCTATATGGAGACTCCTGCTTCCTTTCAAAGGTGAGAAGGCCCAGGGGCCAAAGCAACTGTTTTGAAAAGATCCAATTGAAAAGACAGGCAGAATAGAACCTCTATTCATTTTCTATTTTATACAATAATATCCAGAGCATGGTTCCTAATTATAATCCCCAGAGTAGCCTATATAGCCCCATGAGGAGTATTTTACATCCTTGCCACCTAGTTCATCACTTAGCTGGACAATTTGCATCCAGAGGACACAAAGGCAAAAAACCCCAAACAAACAAACCCCAAATCATTTAGGCCCCAAAGTCATCACACAAGGGAAATTTAAAACTCCAGATTGTTTTGTGAAATCCAGATGTCTACAGCACTCCTAGTGAGCATAGATGTACCCCTCAGTTGAGCCTCAGAAGCCCTTTATCAACCTCTGGTGGCTTAGGATGTGCAAGTAACCAACAAGTGCCTTCACAGGGGCTTCAACACAGGCTCCAGGTGCTGTGACCTTCTCTAGCACACAGTCATAGCCCACAGCCACTGTCATTCAGATGACATATAGTGCTGATGATTCCTCTCCTTCATGTAATACCATCTCTAGGCAGAGCATTTGTTAAGGTCAACTACTATGCACTTAACTTTCAAATAATTGGAACTCCCATGTCTGCCTCCCCAGAAGGAGACTTAACCCCCCAGAACAGGCACATAGAGTAGACATTTTTCTCCCAGCTTGTCAACAGAGTGGAAAAAAGATGAGTCTTGGAGTGTGACCTGTAGCTCTTGAAATTTTAAAATTAATTACCCAGATGATTCAGTCATTTCTGGTTTTGAACTGACAACGGTTTGGTGTAAAGCATACATTGGAAGTCCTCATGTCCAGCTAAATTTCCAACCTCTGATGATATAAACCCTCTTGAAATGATGGATGCATGTTTGGAGCATAAAGCTCACTATAATTATCTCAAAATAGTCTATTTGCGACTGTTTTCTTGAGTGAGTTACACTATACTCAGCCTGCATGTTCTGAACAAAATTATCAAAGCTGCACAAGAAATACAGGGAAACAGGAAAACAGAGAAATCACAAAGTTGATTTTTTTTTTCTTAGAAATGTATTTTGTAAGAAAACAATATTAACATTAAAAAGAAATGTTTATTATATAGTATAAAATAATTGCTTGAATTCAACTCGGTTCTTATTTTTAAAAAAGCCTGAGGATTTGTATGAAGACTCAATTCCTACAGATTTGTTTATGTTTCCTTCTGTGATTCCTACCACATTAAAAAGCAGGTTTTCCCCATAACATCCTTAGAGCACAAATACTCCCAAAACCTCCTTCATTCCTTCCCCATGAAGTTGCTGTTCCCTGCCCAGATGTGCTCTAAACATGACCCATAGTACCTGCAGCTCTCTCCTATGTCATTCATACCCACCTTCAGATTCCAGCCACCTACTTCTTTTGGCCAAGCAACTACACAAGCGACAACACATGTTGCAGCTAGCTAGGAGCCTCCCCGGGTTAATTTGTTGGCTAATATAAACAGTGGCCAGCCACTGACAAATAATATATATGGGCTGAGCTGTTCTCAGCTGTCTGGTCTCATAAAACCTGTACAAATACCTCTTAACCTTGCCATCGACCTGCCACATGTGGCAGGTGTGTGCAGAGGTTTAAAAGCTAGAAGTGGAGACAAGAACAGGAAATGTAATGACATATGCTTCATGTTTTCAGGAAGCTAAGCTAAAGAAGTCATTACTCACATGCAGAGTTTCATAGAATCATAGCATGTCTTGGGTTGGAAGGGACCTCTAAAGATCTTCTAGTCCAACCCCCTACAATAAGCAGGGACATCTCAAACTGGAATTTCCAACTTCCAGATTTTGCTGTAGGAAAATATGCCTGTTGAGTAACCCTTAATACATTTCTATGGCTTATTAACAATTAATGTGGGTTTTTTTTTACTTTTTAGGTAATGCCAGCTTTGTAATGTCAATTACCCCCCATGTCTGAAAGGCACCCAGTGACCAGCATTCTGGTGTAATTATTCATGACATTGGTGTGATTTCCCCCTCTCCCCTCAATAATACTGACAAGTTTAACAGAAACCTATTAAGTTAAAAAGAACAAAGATATATATTACATTTGCTAATTGCAAACAACCTCTTCTAGCTGCAATTTTTCCCATTGGGATTAAAAAGTGCACCAGTTTAACATGTCTGTACATTAAAAACAGTTTTAAACATTAAATATACAAACAGCAAGAAATTTTAAATATTTTGTATCAAATACTATAGGACAATATAATTTACAAATTTTTTTTACAGAAAACATTACACCTAAAATATAACTTTAGATATTACAGAATATAAAAATACATATTTTTTTGTCTAAAAAATCTTTGCAGATTCTGGCACAATGTAATACTTTAAAGACATGCTGTATTTTGGCAGTCTATATTTGTAACTAACTGTGCAACAATAATACAAGTGACTCGTAATTAACCTTTCAGAACTGTGAAGCCAGATGTTATCCCTTCCTCCTGGAATAGCCCTTTTAATCAGGTAAAAATTGAACTGTTTAGACATTTTGCAACTCATTTCTGCCGCAGCCTGAGCTCACCAACCTTAACCCAGCAAAGCAAGAAGAGGCTTATCTAAGTATGTGAAAAGCCCAATCAAACACAATGAGATTAGTCAGACCTTCACAATCTTTGCTATCTTAGGGTTGGGACACTCAACCCCAAGCAAAACTGAGCCCTAAATGCAAGTCTAGGGCCAAGTTCTGTCCTGCCCCATGTTTGAGCCAAAACTAGTACGAGTAGCACAGCTGAAAAAGTCAGGGCTTGGAAATAGAAGTTCAATAACATTAATTGCTCTGATTTAAACTACAGCAACGTAAAAGTTTCATTGACTCTACTGGAACCAGTGGAGACAAAAAGTAAAACACCTATAAGACTGAGTCAAGAGAACTATGTAATTTTGTTCTTCTGTGCACTTGTGGGACTCTTGCTGGAGTCAGCACAGGGCAAAAACATGTCTTTAAAGATTTACTGCTTACAGAGATGCCATTGGGTTGCAAAATATTTTCAGTTCTGTCTTCAAGTTGTATCTGGACCAGTAAAAACCCAAGCAATTTTCAGCATACTGCAAAAATATTCAGTCTAAATCCCTTACTTTAAATGCCCCAAAGTAAGTTGCTTCTTGTGATGAATCCAGTAGCAATGGGTTTGATACCTGGATACTTATCATTTCACCAGATTTTAATTTAAAAAACCCTCCTACATTGACAGAATAAAAATGAAATTCTGAATTCCCTGACCAGTATTTGGTGCTTCCTCCCTTCATCAACACATCAGAGCGCCTTATTTTAAGGTTTGTCTTAATCATATACACCATCAGCTGAAGGCCTCTTTTAGTCAGGTTTCCAGAAGTTTCATGATGTCTAAAACAAATGTTGGCATAAAGGTAGTAAAATCCATCTTGATTAACAGTGAGCTTCCCATCACTGAATGTCATGTTAGATAAGTTTGCCTGGCCTTTGTCATGATGCCAGGATGTGAGGTTCACTTTGCGAGTCCCTAAAGAGAAAGGAAAAAACAATTAATTGTAAACATTTAACAAAACTCAAGTTGTAGAAAGCAATCCCAGTGACTTTAGAATCAAGTTATACAGACTAAAGTGAATATCAGACAACTATGATAAAAAAAAATATCATAAGAAACTCCTTTTTTTTCATCCATAGTGCCAGATCTGTTCTGCTATGTGTTGTAACTGTTTGTCCTCCCACCAAAACAGCTGCTGGACCACGATGCAGAACATTTGCTTGGCCAATTGTTTGATTATGATAAGTAATCATGCAAAAAACTCTGTATAGAAATTGTGTTCCACTCAAAACTCTATTCAAGTAACAAATACTTGAGAGGAATTTGAAAAGTTATTAATGAAAAAACAGCAAATCCTGCTATCAGTCTTTAACCTACAGCTGTTTTCAAGGAAGAACTAAACAAGATCTGAAAAGAAGTTAAACTGATAATTCCCCAAAGATAAAGCTTATGAAACCTTCCCATACTTCATGTTCTTGTGACTGCTGTAGTACATACGTAAATATATTTTCATTTGAGAACACCAAAAAAATGGAGGAAAAATCAGAACAATTCTGTATCTTTAGTACTGCACAATAAGTTGCCTAGACTTCAGATAGTATCTCAACTGACATAACAAATCTTTCAATGCAAAAACAATCTTTGTACCAGAATAAGGCTCCACAATCTGGTTTAGTGATGTCTTAGATATCTAGAATAGTGGCCTGTATACAATCCTAATTCTTTGATAATTGTGCAAATACCTACAGCTAAGCAATAATAGCTATTTGAAAGGTAAACTCCAATTCTTTGTTTAGTATCTAGTGAAAGGTGTTGAAAAAAGAGCTTTAGGAAGACAGGTTTGATCCTGGATGCATTGGTCTTCTTTCCCCCCTCCCACCCCTTATTTTTATTTATTCATTTTTAAGTTTCTTAAGTTTCAAACTAGAAAAAATGAGCTGATATTCCAAGCTTAGAGGACAACAGTCCCCTTCAAGTTGTCTTAAGCTGCAGATCCACAAATGAGGAAAGAAAATTATTATATTATCTCTGTTTCTCCATAGAGCTTCATACAGATGGGAATCAAAATAGATGCACAACAGTTACTGACTATCAAAAAGAGAGATTAATAGAATTAACATATGCAAACAGGTATTATTTAATTCCTTCTAACAGGTACACTAAGCCTTTCAGCTCTGCCTGCATGATGGTGGCCTCGTAAACAGGAAGCTGTCCCCTATCTGATAAGGTGACTGAATGCTCTGTGAGGAGAACAAAAAGGAGTTGAGAGACTGGAAATGCTTTGATTAGTTTGTCAGCTCAGCACTGACACAGAAAGCTGACTTCACATATATGAGTACAAATGTCCCCCAGCAACTCTGGTCCAAAAAGCACCTCCTGGGTGTTACCATAAAGTATCCACATCATATCATCTCTTGGAGGTTTCAAGCTGGTCATATCTAAGATGATGCTACATGTAGATCCCAGACATTAGAAAAAGGTTCTTTGGACATTAGGTAAAGATTCTTCACTAAAAGTGTGGTTGGTCACTGGAACAGGCTCCCCAGGGAAGTGGTCACAGCACCAAGCCTGTCAGAGTTCAAGGAGCATTTGGACAACAGCCTTAGTCATATGATTTCATATGATTTTTAGTCATATGATTTTGGTAGTCTTGCAAGGAGGAGGGAGTTGGACCGGATGATCCTTGTGGATCCTTTCCAACTCAGGACATTCTGTGATTCTACTCTTAAGGATGTGCTAAGAGATGGCCTGGCAGGAGGTCAGATAGGCACTGAGAGAAAGAATTTGAGTCTTCCTTCCAAACCTGGTCACATTTGACACTTCAGTTTGGTTTTGGTGGCATGGTGTTAAGAAGCAATCTGCAACACCAGCCCAGATAACATTGCTGCAGTACATGCATTTTGTAGAGGTTTGTCAGAGCTTAGGAACATGCCCTGCACTTCACATCCCACAGTCCCTTCCATTTCTCCAGCTTCACCACCATCCTGTTATAGCACCCCCTCATCTCACAACCTCTGTCTGCAGAAACAAGTAACAGCAGGAGGAGAATATTCAGCCAAGGCCCACTGGCATGGCCACAGAGGAAACAGCACTGTCCTGAGACAGCCACACAGTCCCTGACTCTTCCTGATACACACAAGCCACTACCATTTATTTATTCAGTGTATAACACAGATGAAAGTTGGCCAACTTGTCCTCCTACCCACTAGTAATTTTCAGCACACAATACTAACCCCATTTACTCCCTCTAAGGCACCCACAGAAGTAGGTCCACCAAAAGACACTACACATTAGGCTCCCAGTGCATCTAAACACCTGCTTGGAATATTTAGTACCTTATTCTCCCAACATCAAATCAAAACAATGTATATCCACCAACATTTCCATGACATATGGCAGGGTTCAGTGTCCTCCCCTGCAAGCACATATCAAGATATGCCCCAGAACAAACAATGCTCAAAAGTATGCTGGGGAAAAGCCCCAGGTATATTTGATTAGTTAAAAAGATGCTTCCTGGATTTTTTTTTTGTGCAGGAAGACATGAGGAGAAGTAGGGACAGGGGAATTTGAGAGTTATGAGTTTTCCTCAACTACCAAGGGCAAGCAACTTCTGCATGTGGTAGTACAAAAAACTCCTGGCATTCTTCCACAAAGACTAGGAGAAAGCAAAGGCTGTCAAAGGTAGAACATAAATAGTTGTTCCCTTATGGCTCCAGTACAGCCAGGTAGAAATTACACAAGAAAAATCATGCAGAGAAACAGACTTCTGTGCAGTGCCTCAAAAAAACTTAGAATTAATTGGAATTAATATTAAAATCTTAAGTCTCTTAACCTGGAATTATTCACCTGCAAGAGATGTTGAGATTGGGGTTCCAGAATACAACTCTGAAACACTGGGGATAGCTGTCCAGCTTCTTGTGCACAGTGTTAATTCTGCTCCAAGAAGCCTGAGCTACCTTCAAGATGAGAAGAATAGGGAAGCAATTACTGCCTGGATTAGAGGAGGGGTACATCAGAAATTTGGGACAGTAACATATACATATGACAGAACAGAAAGGCATGCTGGCATGCTGTGACTGATGGGTGGCACACCTGCGAGTTATTCTGCAGGTTTCATTTACCTGGCAAGTAAACCTTTTAGTTATGAGTCTTCATCATGTAGAAATCCTGAAGAAATAATAAGATATCTATGAATCATACCTATAATCTAAATCCTTAGTGGGAATGCATGGTTATCATGAAAATGGAGGAAGAGAAAAAAAAACAGGTGCCACAGTCACTTGTAACCAAGATGCTGAGAGGTGCTTTTGGTGAAATTTGTTCACTCTGTTTTTGTTTTGAGGGGAATATGCATCATTCACTCCAGTCAGGTGGAGGGACAGGCCGAGGTTTTTGGAAGAGAGGATTAGCCTACATAACTTCTGGAAGTCCCTTCCAATTGAAATTATGATGCTATTAACTGAGGCAGATGGGCATTTTGCCACAATTCAGAGTTCAGAAGAGGCATTCCACACCCAGCAGCACAGCACAAAGAAGCACTGGTAGGAGTTATGCCATGCAACCCTTAATGGAAGGAGCAATTAGGGTCTCAGCACTTCTGGTGGTAATACACCCAAACGTGGAGACATCAATCAGCACCCCTAAACACAGGCAGGGGAGAAAACTGGAACATTTAAGTACCAAATTAGCTGTTCACATATCAGAAACTCTGAAACACAATCCAAGACACTGGATAGTCAGAAATGCTGCAATACAATGTCTTCTGTGATAAAATTTACTATGGAGACATGAAGTTATGTTGTGTTGACAGAGAAGGAGAATGTCAAATAGAAAATGAGTATGGTAACTTTCCATGGTAAAAAGTTTTTGTTTTTTTTTAAAGTCAAGATAAGACATCATTTTTCTGGTAACTGAAGACAAATCAAAACAATGTCTTGTATATTTGTATGAACTAACACTAATAGAAATGGATTTCAATAACATGAATTTGTAAAAAGGAAGATGATGGGAGGGGAACAGAGGAGAAAGCAGCCCTGCATGGATAACTTGTTTGCATCCTAGTAGCTTTCAGGTATAAATAAAACCTGAAGGAAAGACCAAAGCACTGTTTGCCCTGAAAAACTGTTTTGGAGGCAACGGACAGCTAAGCCAAAAACTGTAGCTGTAAATAGCTCAGACTACTACAGCATTTCCTTAGACACCTAAAGGTGTCACATACCAAATTATATATTTAACATTTACATTTATTTCTGTTTGCAATTTTCTCCTTTAAACAGGGACTAGTTTCTCTAATCAATTTATAAACCAAAATTCACTGTTTTCATTTAAAACTTAGGTAGCATTTATAGCAAGCTCTGGTAAAAAGCAACCAGCAAGCATCCAGCTTTAACCTAAGGCAGCAAACCTAAAAAATACACACAGCAAGCCAAACCACCACAGCTTCTGCAGCCAAATTATGGGTGGGGACACCAAGATCTGGGAAGGGTTATTTTCCCCCTCCCTTGCACTCTCTCCAGCTGCAAAAGTTCATTTGGGGCTTGATACACTACTGTGAACCAGGTAAAAGGAAAATGTTCCCTCAGAGACACTGCTCAGTGCCCCTTCAAAGGTTATTATTTAGTGGCAAACTACCTAAAATAAAACCCTGTTTGACTGTGATGGAGACTGATTATTTTTTTTCCTGACATTGTTTATTTTGGCTCAGAGTGATGACAGTAGAGAACCTTAAAATACTAAGAAAAAGAACTGTCCAGACTCACAGATGGCATAAAATTATTTAGAAGGATTTCAAACATGTAGGGCAAGGAATCAGGGGAAGAAAACAGAGATTGTCGCTTGCAGTCAGAGGAAACAGGATGGGAGAGAAAAACTCCTGGTGACCCTCAAGGAAATTCTTCATCCTTTATGCCTGTCATTAACCTTTATGCCACACAGCCAAGTGGTACTAACTCCTACCAGGGAGCATGATACTAATGAGCCTTACAACCAATAGGTTCAAGGTTCCATAAGGATGCAGCTCCTCATTGCTGCAGTATCCACCAGGACTGAAGAAGCTGTGCTCCTGATTAACATCCTGGCAGTGCTCTTCCAAAAGAGGCAGAAACCACATGTGCCAAATCAGGAGGGAGTATGTCCAGTTTATCACACTGGTAAGGGGTTGATCTGCTCCAAGGAGAAACAAAGCAGCCTGTTGTCACAGGCACTGTATTTCTGAGAGTTTGTGCACGAAACAAACAGAAAAAAAACCAAACCAAACAAACAAAAACAATGGAGAAAGCAAGAGCAATGTCTGCTTTGCTATTACCCACAGATGTGCTACATCACTCCCTAGAAGGTTAATGCAGTGAGGCACAACAGTAAAAACTATCAGCTGCTAGCCCCTATAGAAATATACTTTACAGCAACATCCAGGTAGACAGCAAATCAATTCACCACAGGAAAAGGTGGATTTAACAAAGTGTTACACTGACAGACTCCATTTCTGTAGATATAAGTGATTTGTCTCTATGATTAGCAAATTAATTAAATCCTCCCAAAGACAAAATGCTAGGACAAGGTTACTGATACTACATCTTCCACTATTGACCTATGTCAAAAGCCAAAATCTGTCTTGTCAAGAGGCATTTGACCTAATAAGAAAGCTTGCAGAAGTTCTGACTGTCTTCTGACAAGCTGCTTAACCTCTCTGCTTATAAAGCTCTGAATCTTATCCATGGCAATGCACTTGAAGGCAGGAAGAATCCTATCCCTCCAGGCAAGAAGTTAACCCCTTGTGTACAGAAGAGCTTTGTCTTTAAACAGAAAAAAAAAAAAAGGCAAAAAAAAAAAAAAGGCGAAAAAAAAAAGCAAAGTATTACTAGGCAGGCTGCTGAAATCTCAGATTTCAAGCCTCAACACAGCATTCCCCTTTGGTTTGGTTATATAAAGCAGCAATACACATAGCTTAATTAACAAGGAGTTCAGCATTGCAGAATGTATACATCTTCAGAGGAAGACAACAGTGGTAATCAATGCCCCATTCTGTCTTGAGATCAATGCCCCATTCTATCTTGAGATCATCTGTCTGATAGCTTCAGAACAAACTCTTGTTTACTTCTACCACACCAAGTATGATTGTTGTGTTGAGAATACAGAGAGAAAAATCTCAGCTGACAGTACCCCAGGGAAAAAAAGGAAACAATACTAAGATATCTCAAAATTGTAGGAATTAATCTTTTCCTCTAGAGAATGTCCCAAGGCAGACTCCTGTCTTGTTCCCTCCTATTGCACTAGCATGGTTATTCCCAAAACCACTCAAAGATACCTGTAAGTAGAGGGAAAAAAGCTGTGGCAACATTTAAAAAAATGCCATCCATTGTCTTACCACAGGAACAGTTTTTTTCCCCTACTCAGTAGCTCAGAAAAATACTGCATCTGAGTCAGCACACTGACCAGAAACCCTGTTGCTCAGAATACAATGCTATGATCTTTGATCTGCGAAGTTCTGGCACGTCTGAACATCAGAAAGACTCTGGGAGTCTTGATATGTCTACACCAGCCCTGCAACATAATAATGAATGGAGTATGACAAAAACTTTCCAACATGCCATTAGCAGAGGGAAACATTTGCTATAAACTAAGTCCTATGGTATGAGAGTGCAATGTATCCACAGAGGGCAGGAAATTAGCAGGCAAGTTACAATGACATTGGGACTGCAGATCTAGGTTTTTAACACTTCCAAATGAAAGATGTGCTTCTTTTATGGCAAGTTCTTATACTGACGGGCACTTCATGCGTGTTGTGCATTCATACAAGATCCTCAGCTTCCACATCTACCCTGAAGACAATCAGTATGTCGCCCAATACAGATCCAACTACACTTCAGCACACAAAAGAAGTGTTGCTGTGAAGGGTTCAAGAGGTGGACATAGGCATTCTTGAAATTTACAAAATAAAGCATCACATTTCTTCATCTACAACAGGACAAAATAAAAAATCTCAGACTCAATGAAAGGGAAACACCTTCCAAACAGCAAGATCTGGATTCTGGCCAATCTCTGTGCTGGTATATCCTTTTATGCATGGGCTTATGTGTGCACACATGTGTTTATATGTACCTACAGCTGATGCCCAGTGTGAGTTTGGCCCCACTAGCCAAAGAAAATAAGAAACTTCAGAGGAGAGCATTCAATTTATATCTTCGTTTCTCACCTGAAGACAGCACAAAGAAGCAGGCCAAGCTTTCAGAGCTTCATCACGAAAAGTGGTCATTCAAAACTGAGGTCATTCAGCACATAACAGACTGAAGCAAAGGGGAACTATCCTCCTGTTAACATTAGGCCTGTTGCTTCTGAAATCCTTCCGTGTATCCAATTTATTCTCACTATCAAAAGCTATTTCTAAAGTCCCAGTCTGTTGCTGGTATTGCTGAACTATTTTCATATACTTCACTATTTAATACATTTATAGTAGCATTGGAAGTGTTCACTTAAAACTGAACTTACCAGATGGAATATTCTTATCATCGATAATGAGATGGGCAAAAGGCTGCTTCTCATGTTTGTTTCTCTTGTACAGATCCATTCCTAATGCCTCCATTGCAGCTAGAAATAAAAGAATTGTATTACCTTGGAAATACAAATTTAGTAGAACTCAAATATTTCTATTAATAAACCAGGACCTACCTTTTTCTGGTCTTGGTGGTGTTCTTCCCATGACACGCTGAACTTCCTAAAATGAGAAAGAGACATTGTTTTGATGCTGTCTTGGTTTCAAAATACTGTGTCTTGCACGTAGTTTGAAAATTACAACACTCTGTATGTATAGGGGGGGTTGTTCTACCTGACATATATTCAAATGCCCGGGATACACAACTGTGTATTTACATGATGTATAATGTGAACACACAGTTTAACTGCCACAATCAATTTACTTCCTCTGTCCAGTACATCTGACAAAGGTGGACAGGAATGATGGTGTGTGTGATCACTGCACTATCTATTGAAGTAGTGGTGACAGAACATTTATAACTTTTCCTACTTACTGCACTTGGAATGTTTCTGTAACTATGACAGAACAATGACTGCTAAGAATGCATCCCATCAAACAATGGAGTTTATTAACTGATTACTTGGGATCAAAAGGTAACAAAAGAGGCAGTTCTACATAGGGACTAGTGTGTATACATACTATTGACTAAAGAAACTGAGCCCTGAATTTCATTTGTGATGAGGCAAATGACAAGGTAAATTAAAGCCTCCACCCCTCACACTTGACCACTAACAGGGAAGGTTGCAAGATTACAAGGCTTTATAATTAAAGCTCACTTCTAACAAGGTATGCAGAAGTATTAAGCATCTTCCACATCTGGTCTGGGTGCCAGAGTTTGGAAATATGCACTCTTCAGAATTGCAGATGAATTTTGACATGAATGAAACACATTTTACCCCCCAAAAAAAGAATGTTACAAGAAACAAACACCATAAAAAGCCTTGCTTTTAATAGTTCACATCTTTTTTCTCTTGAGAGAACACAGAAACAGCAGTTTTCAAAAATCTAAGCAGCCTGTTCTTATTGCAAGCCTGAACTGAGTCTTGGTAAAATTAGGTAACAGTCTTGATAATATTCAATCCTCAGTTCTGTCCCCTGTTACCCTATTACTCTCATCATCTCTGTTTTCTGAAAAACAGAGGTAATATTCTACTCGCTATTCAGAATACCTCATACCACAGAGACATCAAGATGGTTAGTAAAAGGCAACAATTTGCTGAAGATAGCAATAATATCTCAACTTTGAAAGTTAAGAGTGGTGCTTTGTTTTGTCTTTATGTCCCACTTATTGCTGTTCATCAGATTCAGTACCATGTATATGTAATATATCACATATTTGGCCAGATCAGCATTATTCCACTGTGCTTTCAATCACTGCGATGCTTTAGAGACTGAAATCCTGCTTTGAAAACACCTTAAGAGCTGCTTTTAGATAATTTTGCAGACATGATGAAATCTGTAACGCCTTTGCCAGTGCATTTATTACTCTCACTTTCCCCTTCCAGTAGGTGTTTAAATGTTAAAACCAAAATGAAAAGCCACAGCAGTATGGAAGTTGCAGTATGACTATCAAAGCACAGTATTTCAGCAGAGATATGCTGATTTTGTAGATAAGAATCATTACAATGCTTTCTGCTGTAGGGATGAGAAGAAAACCAGAAGAATCACAACATCAAAAGAAGCAAAACTCATGTCCACCTCCCACATTTACATTCACTTCCCCTCTCTTATCTTCCTACTTCAATGTCACTTCTAGAAGCACAAAAATGAAGCTCAGTTCTAGGAGCTGCACACCAGCATCAGCCTCTAGCCACACTTGAGCTCTTTAACTGCATCAGAGGTGGGAAGACAACAAAAAATTCCAAGCACTAAATATCACAAACAGTAGCAAAAGCTTCTGATGAGAACAGGACTTAAGGTAAAAGAAGTTGGGAGGTGGACCACATTATTGCATCACACCCACTTCCCAACTCTTTCC